TCGAATATCTCTCGTTGAAGCTGTCGTTACATTTTTTTTCGAAATTGTATTTTCTTTCTTTTTTTTCTGTAACTTTCCGCTCTGGGGGAGTTACAATTCATTTAAATTTCAATGTCCAGTTATCGGTGCGAGTTAAAGTGTCGGGAAACTGGTTTCGTCGCCAAATTTTCATAGACTAGCCAGAGGGAAAGAGGTGTAAGCCAATTGCATTGATAACAGTTTTCAATGGTGAAAAAATTACAAAAAAAAATCAAACACAAAGCAACTAAGTCTAAGGCTTATCAGGAATATCAGAAAAAATTAATAGGGGACGTTTGGAAACTTCCATGACATATTAATAAAGTAAATCAGTAATAGAAATAAATACATTTATATATACTCATATATATATCTTTAAATATACGTAGATTTGTGTATGATTCATTGTCTGATTAAGAAACAAAAAAACTCCCTGAACTTGGCTCAATTTTTTTCCGCTTTCCGCTTCCATTTGCAATGTCATTGATCGCTTATTGATGATCAACGCCTTTGCTCGTGATATTCACGTGCTTGGCGGACTTCTCCTGCTTCCCCAATCATCGTCTTCGATCCATCTCGGAGCTCCTTCTCGTTGTCTTCCGCTCGGCGGCGTCACAAGATTCTTGTTAGATTCTGAACTTTGGATGGTGACAACAAACACTTATTGATTAGACTTTATTGCTGCACCACAAGACCAAGGAATGAGATCATATCTCTGTATAAACAAATGTAGAGGGAAATAACTGATCATTTCGCTGGTTGAAGCTTTTTATATGTTTACTGTTTGTGCTTCCCTAATTGTTTGTTTAAATTAGGTTTGGGAAATGGATATCTTTACTTGGAAAGTCAATAAGTTCTTGCTTTCATTTTCCTCGAAAACAATCTCTGCTTTAACCACTCATTTCTTGCCTTCATTTGAGCTTTCGATCCTTTTTTTGTATATTAATTATTAATGTATAGAGTTTTTTTTATAAACAAAATAAGTTTAGCTTGAAATTCGTTTGCGTTTGTTGGCAAGTTTTACTTAATTAAAATATTAGCAGATTTAATGGAGCAAAATGAAGGTCAAACTATCAACTATTAAAAAATGATCCAAAAGATGCAATTAATAGAAGTTTTTAGCTTTGTAATAGCTTCTATTGCTCTTTATTATTTTGTCAATTGTTTTTGGAAACACTTCCTTTGGTTTAAAAATAATCCAAATTGCATTCCTATTTGCAGGTTGGATTTGCACCTTTAAAGAGTATCCCCTTATTCCAGGTGGACGTCATAAGGCCTCGGTGGCGCAGTTGGCAGCGCGTAAGTCTCATAATCTTAAGGTCGTGAGTTCGAGCCTCACCCGGGGCAGGTAACTTTTTTCCAGAATATTATATACTCTGTCTTTAAATCCTGATACATGATATTTTTTTATTAATTAAAGGGACACAGCAGCAAGAATTCACTTAATGTGACTTCGATTTCTTTACAATATCTAGTGGCAAATAATAGAAAAATTAAAGGTATGTGTACCTTCATTTTATATATATATTTATCTATATATATTATATTTTATGCAGTCCTTTTTGATATCCCTACTTCATTTTAATAGAATATATATTTATTTATAAACAGCTCTATAGTTTTAACAGGGAAATAATGCTAAAAAAGCATGGCATCTTCTAGGGATATGCACTTAACCAATTCTTCTAAAATGTATTGCATATTTTAAGGCTTTACTGCTTTGTTGATAAGCCAGTAATTAATAAAATAAAATATTAAAAGCCAATAATTAAGACAAAACTACAACAAAAGTGAATAGAGAATCCCAATTATATTTGTTATTATTCTGACTTGAGTTTAAACCTATCATTAGGATACTATAATTCGAATAATATATATGAAAATAATTACTTAGCTATGTGCAATATTCAATGGCGAGTTTTATATATTTCAAATCAATTTATAAACTTGCCAAATATGAACGATTTACTTCGTTAAAATAATAATAATTTAAAGCGTTTAAGAGTGTTTTAGAGTATTTGATCATTTATAGAAAATTAATTAAAATGCCATAGAAAAAAAACAACTATCTTCTTCGTTGCTGTATAATGATATTTTTGATCACATCATATATGTACATATGTACGATTTTTCCTCTCGATATATGGCTTCCCACTACCAATTTCATACCCATCACTAGCTACTTAACGAGGCTCCACTGTGGCAAGCAGCAACTTTATAACATCCTCCACAAATTCCATCGCACATGGCTCTTATCTGGGACTCTGGAGGCAGGTCTCCTGCCTTAGTGCCTAGGTCTTCCGATTATATGGCCGTGGTCATGATCCTCGTCATTGGGGGACAAGAAAGAAACTGCTGTTGCCATATTTATGGGTCGACACACCCACCTTGGTCTTTGTACCCGAGCAAATATTCAAAAATATATATATATATGTATATACAAATATATATATATGTATATAAAATGCCAAATGGCAAATAAAATGTGTGAGTTCTTATCGGGTGAATTGTAAATGCCGCAAACGAGCCAGAATTGGGACCACTCCAGATGATGATTGGGGGGGACTAAAGGTCTACCGCCAGTCCAGATCGATGTTGTATTCCGTTTATAATTGGTATAGTTAAGGTAGATTTTCTTCTGTTTACGATAATGAGTTTTGACGCTCCCCAGTAAATAGGGTGACAAAACTAGAAAATAGCTTTAATTAATTTTCAAAAAATATATATATATATTTATTTATAGCACTTTGTAGCTGATAATTTGCCAATGCCAAAGGTTGTCATGCTTGACAAAAGCTAGACTTGAAATCTAAAAATTTTAAATCAAAACAGGCATAAACTAATTAAGTCTTTGTATTACTATTAAAATATTAATTAATTATTATATTCAACTGGTATTTATAATATATTCTTTTGAAAATTATATAAAGTAAAGTAGAAAATAGTTTAAAATACTTTAAATTTATTATAAATCAATATACCCGAAGTATCTATAAATACCTCGTTTGTATATTTAATAATTCCAAACAGAGTCGAGCCTTTCACTTGATTCGTTCTGACCCCTGGACCCCACCGAACCCCAAGAGCCTCGAAATCAATGAAATGGAAGTTCCCCACAGACCTAAAAAGATAAACCCGAAGCACTATCAAAGATGGTAACTCATGGCAACCGACCGTGCGTAATCCTCGATCGGCGTCATAAGCGTCACGGGTCCCGACAGCCTTGGAACCTTTCGAATGCCCATCCGGGTGGGTGAGGTATGTATGTATTTAGTTACGACATCCTACACCCGGGACTTGGCCAGGTTTTGGAGTTCGCGTTCCTTGTTACCCGATTGACGGCCTGTCAACATCACACCGAGGGCTTAATACTTGAGGGCCGGGGTTCCTGCCGCCTGTCACTTGCCGGCCAACTATGCGCATTTCCTCCCGTAGGAAAGACGTCTCAGACAAGACGCACAGTGGTCCAGGATTGATTTGAATAGTAGATAAATCTATTGTTTCTGAAGGTTTTCAAAGCTAGGTTGCTTTGGGTGAAATTGGTGCAATTAAATTTTGTAATTAATTGTTAAAAATGTTTAGATTATAAAACATATCTAGCTTTGTTAATTTCTATTGGCCCCTTTTTGGACATTAATTTTGTAATTATTGTTTTAGCATATTAGGTAACGAGCAACTTCAATTTTAATTAAGCTGTTATCGTTTTTCCTATTGACAAGCAGAGTTTATTGATAACATTCCCTGTGACCACTATTGAAATTCACTCTACAGATCCCCAGAGATAAAGATACAGAGAAAAAGAGATGGATAGAGGGATGAACAGAGAGGGATGGATGGATAGATCATTAGAGAGATGGATAGAGAAGTGGTTTATACAGGAAGAAAAAGAGCGACAGAGATGGATATGGAAATCTATAAAGAGGTCATTAGAAAGATGCATAGAGGAGTCAATAAAAAGAGAGTGAGGGGGAGAAAAGAGAAAGAGAGAGAGAAAGATATAAATGAAGAGATCAATAGAAAGATGGATATAGGAATCAATATATATACTATAGAGAGAGAGAGAGAGAGAGAGAGAAAGGGAAAGAAAGAATGAAAAAGGGGGAGCAGGAGTAAGGGAAATGAAGAGGGGAAGAATGAGAAAAGGAGTTAGAGCTCACGTATTTTAACTTTTTACTCGACGATAATCATATTTTAATTAGAACCTCTTACTAGCTTAATAACCAAAACCCTATTTACTTTCATAGTTAAATGTAACTGTTGCAGTTTTCTCGCCGTGTTTTCCACTCATTACCTTCCAGCCAGTTAGGAGACCCCCAAACGCGTTAAATTCGATTCGTCCCACGGTGGCTGGCGATGACAAAATCAAATTCTAATCGCCGCCGCTGCTATCATAATGTATTTATGAGGTTGTGTTCTGTTTTCCTTTTTTTTTTTTTTGCGTGCGCTTTACGTATACGTAATACACTCTGATCTTGATGCGTCCATATGTGTGTGTGTGTATATTTGTGGATTGTATGTATGTGCGGATGTCCATACAAGTGTTCGTATGTACATATATGTAAGTATGTATATTTGCCCCTGATAATCGCGCCTGCGACGACAAAACTAATTACAACAACAGTAAAGCAAATATAACGGTACAACACGACAAAAAAAAAGTAATTCCGTTATCAAAACGGCAAATGCAGCAACAACAACAACAAGAGCAAGCAATAAGCAATAACGGTAAGGCAAATACGCGGCCAAAAAGGCAGCGAAGCAGCGGCAGCGGCAGCGGCAGAAGTGAAGCCAAAAGACCAAAATAACACGCACACTGTGACAAAAGCAGAGCACCTTTTTTTTCGCTTTTGCCTGCAAGTGTGCGTCGCAGTAGCGCCTACGTGTGTGTGTGTGTGTGTGTGTGTGTGTGTTGTGTTTGGGTGTTTAATACTATAATTCACAAAAGTGTTCAGCTCAGTTCGCGCTGGTGAACGTAACGGAAAAGTCGTCGCCTGTTGAATCTATTCTATTTACTCGATAGTTCCTCGGCCGTCGTCGCCGCCCGTCCGCCTCCTTGATTTGTTTTAGTTTTACTTTTGTTTTGGTTTTTTTTTTTGTTTTGTTTGTTTTAATGTATGTTTTGTTTTGAACTCTATACACACTGTGCAATGTGAGAAGCGACAGAAAGAAAGGAGAGAACGAAGCAAGGCGCGCAACAAGAACGCAACAAAATAACGGCAAAACAACAACAGAAGTAACAACAGAAGCAACAACATAAGGAGAGAACAAAAAAATCATTTACAAAAATAAAACGTACGGCCTCAATATAAAAACAAAAAAAAAAAACAAATTATATGCATATCTATATAAGTGTGTGCGTGTGTTTTTTTAGCATTTGTATTTTAGTTTAGTAGCAATTAGCACTAGAGCAAATCAAATGATATTCTCTATTTTTCATTAATTTTTTTTCTTCCCCAAAGCGCGCGCTTTTCACGAGACACGTGCTCGGAATCGGGAATATATATACCTATATATATATTAGTTTATACATACATGTATATATACATATGCCCATACACATATTTTTGGAATTGCTTAGCGGTCAGAAGAGTTGTTTTTAAAACAAATAATACAAAGAAACATACACATTTTCATTTGTTATCAGCACAGAAAAGGGAAACGACGAAACAAATAGAGTTTTTCAAAAAATTATAGTTTTTTGCATAAGGAAAATTTAACCAAATCTTTTAATATATAATTAGATATACAATTAGATAGATTTAGATTTAAAAGGGTGATTTAATAATTATAATAGTAATATCATTATAAAATATATACGTAAATTTCCTTATAAAACTTATACAAAAAATAATCTACGAAATAAGTGTTGTTATAAATAAAATCTTCAGAACATTAACTTTACGATCTACATTAAAAGTGAAACAATTTATTAAAATTGTATAAAGTAAAATGAAAACGAAAAAATTCATAAATAAAAGTAGGTATTTAATATTAATTAAATATCTCGAACAAAATACCTAAAGCCTTATTAAAAATATCATTAATTATACCATTTAAACAATATCACAATTTAACATTTAATAAGTACAGCGCAGCGAATTAAAATAACATTAAGATGATCTACATCACGATTTAATGTATTATTGTTGTAGTTTTAAACCAACATATTCGTATATAAAAAGTAACCCACTTATCATTATAAAGTAATCAATTTTCAAAAGATAAATAATAGTTATTGAAACTATATACATTTTCCTCAGCATACAAATAGCTTGCGAAATTCAATGAAACTATGCTGAAATCATTTTAACCATTTTTTCGCTTTTCCAAAACGTTTTATACCGGTGCATACGTGATGTTCTCCTAACCATCAATCACACATCAATCAAAGTCTGGCCTTTGCCATTCCTCTCGGCCAACATCAGCGATTATGGCTTACAGGGAGGGGGCAGTACAGTGGCTACCATAAGTAGACAGCAGTAAATGTTTTTTATTGCCCCACGGGCATCCCCACAAGCATTGCTCTGTCTCTTTTTTGTTTTTTTATGGAGTGCGAAGAGTGTCGTATAAACGCGGTAAGCTCTAATTATACAGATGTTTGTTTTTAGCTTTAGATGTCTTAAAAACGTCTTGAGAGACTTAAGCCTCTTAAATGACGATGATGATGACGATGACGACTTTGTGTGTTAGTCAACACTCACTACCATATGTGTACGTACAGCAGGTTTCGCAAAAGTTCTTTTAATGGCATTTTCAAAATACAAAACCCTTTCTAATCTTGGAAGTTATATTTAGGTGAAACAAACTTTAGTTAAGAGAGTGTGTATAACAATAGAACGTATGGCGTTATCAAGACTTTCGGTGTGAATAATTCTGAATGAACAGGAAACGGCACAAGTCGATCAGCGATCAAAGTTTAGTCATGGAATAATCACACGATCTGTTTGTTTTTTAAATGGGAAAGGAATTTTTTTTAAATGTTGTTTTAACAGAAAATTAAACTTAAGTAAATGGGACTATCTGTTAATTAATTACATAAATGATCCCAAATGCGTAATTAAAACATCATGAATAACTTTAAAGCCATTTTGTAATTGAATTTAAAGTGTGTTTTAATTACTAGTTTTACTTATTAGCAAGAAACCTTTCAGGTTTAATGTCTTACAGGCCTTCGTTTTATTATATGATTAATTCAATAATTATATTTAATTTTGTCATATGTCATTAAAACGATATCAGTTGCGTGGTGTTGTGGTGTCATAGGAAATGATAAACAATTAAATAGGTCACCATACCCCGAAGGGAAGCACAAATCAGCATGATTTTATGACATTTGAATGATTTTATATTATTATAATTAAATATATGTAAATAAATCTAGCTCCCTTTAGAAGTTACTATCATTTATAAACTCCAAAATCATCACGTGTGCCTCTGCTCCTGCTTTTCCTGTTACCAACTTTTGCCACGTGTTAGCCTGATTGATTGCCAATGGTTCGATCGTGGCTAAATGGCATTGAAAAATTCCATTTGTCGTCGTTATCCATGTTCCTTGCATATGCCAGCATTTCCCCCTTCAGATCGATAACAAAAGAGCCGATTCACTCGATGGCTTAAGGTCAATTAGTGGCAATTATACATATACATATGTATGTTTTTTTTTTTATCGTATTGGTATCGGTGCGAATCGTTGGTTTTTGTGATAAGCCAAGTCAAAAGTCTACTTTCGACCACTGTGCCTTGATTGCCGGACAATTAAAACGCTGTAAAATTGATATTTGAGCAGCGTTTTAATAGCCATGCGACCTTTAGTACACACAGTTGCCCGCCGCCTCTAGTATGTATCGCAAATAAAGCGAACTTTGCCAGCGAATCTTATCTTTAGCTTCTGCTTCTGCCTTTGCCTGCGGATAGCTTCGTTTTGACTCAGTTCAGCTGCTGGGAGGGCGCTATCGACGCCGAACTACAACAACATCATCATCACTTGGTCTCCAGTCAGTCAGAAGTCAGTCGGTGCTCCATAAAGTAAAGTAAAGCAAGCAAACACATCAAATTCGGCGGTTGGTACACTCGAAATAAAAACGGAAGTTCTGGGATTTTATTTAAAAACATTTAAATACCTTAAACGGCACTTAACCGGCAGTTAAAAAGACCAAGAAACATACGTTTCTGTCTTATAAATGTATAGAAGTGATTATTTTATGGGCATACAAACGAGAGCTTAAATTTTAAATGCTTTTTATATTCCTTATCATTAAGATGGATTTTAATCAACCGTTAAATATTCCGGTTAGTGAAATGTTAAACAGAAAAACCCCAATAACTAAATTCCAAATACAAAATACCTAAAAATTGCTTTAATAGCATTCATAAAAACTAAACCAGAACTCAATCTTGACTTAAAAAGAGTACATAATGCAGTTTCCCTTATGTGAGAAATAAATTAACATCAAATTTGCTATCAAAATTAAAAAAAAATATATTAACTGGCAATTAACCGGTGGTTAAAAAGCCCAAATAACTAAATTACTTCTCTGTTAACTTTATTGTAAACCTATAGGTAATAATATCGAAAATAGAACTTAAATGTTATAGATATTCTTATATATATTAAATTTTATGGAGTTGAAATTTAAGGTTTATTTCCAATTTATCAAAAGTATCTCCAACCCATTATTTTTCCCTGTGCATTAACCATGGGCCTAAAGAGTGAGAAACTTTCCTTGGTACCTGGCACCTCGTGTTGTGGCCAACAAATATAATTATTAATTAGAAGATATCGGCGGTGGGCGGTCGAGGGCGCCGCCCTATTGCCTTATCAAATGGCTGGCACCGAAATGATCTCATTTAAGGCCCAGTGCCCGGCGCGATATCTCGATGTCTTTGCGGTGTGTCTTTGCGGGCAAGTGTATTTACGTTGAAACTCATTGCTGGTCAGCAAACTCTCGGATACGAAATTCCGAAAAGGAAAAATCAAGCCAGCTCCAACAACTCGCTCGATAAGGCGGCATTGGCGCTCTCTCAAACCGTTTGACAACAAAACGCAACCATTGAGGGGTTTTTTCCCCTTCTTTCTTTTCTTTTTATATAATGGGTGTTAAGTCGGTATTATTTACTTTAGTTGTTGCTCTTTTGGCAGTCACGTTTCCAGGCATATTTCCAAAAATATCTCCCCGCCCCGACCGCCTGAATCGGAATCGGGGAATCGGGGAATCGGGGTATCGGAATCGTTTAGCGTAAGAAGAGTGAGAGTTGCCCAAAAATATCACCGATCGGCTGATCATTCAGTTGAGGTTCAGCCTTTCGTTCCGCCGTCTCGCGTTGCTCTGAGACAGTAAAAAAGTGAAAAAAAGAGGGAAATACAATCGCAAAGCTCAATTGAGCGGTAATCGATTGTTGAACAACACAGACAATCGGTTCGTTCTGTGTGCAAATCAATTCAGTTCGAGTTCAAATATTGACTCGTCTCGTTCCAGTTCTATATTTATTATTATTTCGAATGCCTTGAGTAGGTTGGTTATTTATAATATATCACTTTAATATATATTATATATTTATTGCTAATTAGTGCTTATTTAATCAAGTGAATAGAGGTGCTTTAATTTTTATGTTTGGGTGTGAAGTAATCCACTTAATAAAATGTTGTGTTTCATGCTAATTTGCTCAGACCTATAACAAAATAATTTATGCAAAGCAAAGATAACAAATATAACCAAGAGCTTGGAATTATGGTGAAATGTTGCACGTGGTGAATGACTAAATGAATTGTGAATGAGTTTTTAAACTCACTCAAATGTGAAATTGTTTTAAACAAATAAATATTCTCACAAATCGGCAATGACATCAGTTAAAATTTATATAATTATAAAAGTGATTTGTGAATTAATTGTAATGACCATAATAACAATCTGCAATTATCAGTTAGTTTCAGGAATAAATAAAAAAACTAGATTATTTCAGAATTGTGTGTATTATTTAACAACCTTCAAGTTACTAAGTGATTTTAAGCTGATTATATCTATCTTAATTAGATCTTAAAAATCAAGTTAATATGCATTTAAGTGATGTTTGAATGATTAGAGTTACAAATTTTGATGAAATTTCGTTCTTAATCCTAATACCTTCTTATTTTTGTTTAAACTTTACTTTTAACAGAGTTCCCAGCCATCCAGGGATGCAACATCAAGACTTTAGACCCCCAGCGTTAACCTAACCCAAGCTCCTCTAGCTTCTAGAACCTAGATCCCACTTCCAAACCCGAACCCAAGTTGCACACGATTCCAAGATGACCGATAATGGTGGCCATCTCAGCAATAACAACAATAACAATAACAACACGGAGGCATCCAGACTGAGACTGCCGGAGGCTGAGCAGACCGCACAACTGCTGCCCAAGAATGGATCAGCGGCCAAGATAACATCATCTCCCACCACCAACACCAACACAAACACCAACACCAACAACAACACCAACACAACCCATTCGCATTCCCAATCCACGCCTGGATCCCATCCGGTGAAGAAGAAGAGACGCGACAAGAGCGACCTGGGCGAGGACTTTGTGGCGCCGGATGGAGGATGGGGCTGGCTGGTGGCCATTGCCAGCGGCGTCAATATTGTAAGTACAAGTTAACATTGCTCATTTTCCCCAATGTGTAAGTGGGGGGAGTGAGTGAATAAATGGAATTGCTCACTTGCTTAATTTAAATGAACATGTTTATTTGTTGTTCACTTACAAATTCATAATTGTTTTAGTTAATGAAGGGGACATTTCCGAACCCATAAATCATATATATTCTTGATCAGCATCAACAGGCGAATCTTTCTAGCCATGTTGGAACAAAAACAAATGTTTTTAATTTTGTAACATTTTTTAAGGGGTTACATCGTTAAAATTGTCAAAAAAAAAATCAACAAAATTGTTGTTTATTAGCGTTCTAAAACCTAACACAAAACAGCTTTCCGATTTGAAATTAAAGCTTTTTTGACTTAGTTATGGTTTTTTTTTTTCTAAATAAAATGTATCAAAAAAATTAGCATATCAAAATATCAATACGTATCACTTACAGGAATGCGTATATATCTGGTTTGTTTCTAACTAAGTAATACATATAAATATGTAAATACATACAAAGTAAACAACTGAACAACTAAGTTAACAATTTAATAACCTTGTTCACTCACTATTGAAGTGAACAATTGATCTTTTGTTCATTTTGAATAAACCCCCTTTCGACCAATATATATGTAGATATCTTTACAATGAAATTTAAAGAATATAGAGAACTAATATATTTAATTTTCCTACAGCTGGTGACGTTCGCTTTGGCCCAACAATTTGGCATCCTATTCCGCGATCGCATGGCGAATCTGGGAATATCCAGTTCCGAGCTAACGACCATCATCAACACACAAATCGCTGTGTCTGCATTTACGGGTAAATATATACACAAATTAATACAGAAATATATACATATATCTAACACTAGATATACTAGGAATCTAGTATAGAATCATTATCATTGCTGCATTTATATTTAGCTGCATTGACATTTGTTTTGCTCAATTTCTGGATAGCTAAATCAGCTATATATATATGAAGCCATCAATAGATAAAAGACTATGTAAAAGTAAGGAGAAAATTAATGTATATAAAATAAATAAGGTCTTTTAAAGACAGTTCATAGGCCCTTTTGCTTATCTTCTCAAGCTCATGAACTTGGCATTGTGATAAAACTATTATGTACATTATTTAAACTAAAAAACCCGACTACTTTACGTTTCCGCTAATATGATAAAGTTGTTTTCTGTGAAACTGTATGTAAAAAATATAGCATTATAGTGTAAATATGATAGAGTATATCTGAAGATAAGCATTTAAAAGCAATATTTATATGTAAAAATGGTGTCCTTACATACAACTTTAAAAACAAAAAAGATTCTATATATCTAGCTAATTCTTTTTGACACATCTGGGTGCCTTTAAAATCATTATCATAAGTTAAAAAATCATTAAAAATCAATCATTAAAGAGTGTCCAAAAGTATGCTATCAAATATGCTATTAAAGATGTATAAAAAATCTATAAAAATAATTATTAAACTCCCTTCTCCCATTCCCTTTTAGGTCTCCTCAATGGCCCACTTTTCCGACGCTACACCTACCGAGTGGTGGCCCTTTGGGGCTCTGTATTGACCTTTGCCGGCCTCTTTTGGATGGTATTTGCGGACACCTTCACCGTCTACCTGTTGAGCTTCTCCATCATTTATGGATTCGGTCGGGGACTGACGGTGAGCGCCTCCTCGCTGGCCGTTAACACGTACTTCAAGGTGAAGCGACGCACGGCCACCGCCTATCAGTTTGGTGTGGCAGGACTTGGACCCATTGTCTGTCCCTACTTTGCCACCTATATGCTGCAGGTATTTGGTGTCCAAGGCACAACCCTGCTCTTTGCCGGCGCCTCATTGCATACCATTGCCTGTTCGCTGATCTACCAGCCGGTGAAGTGGCATGTGGTGAAGCGGGATCGCGATGCAGAGGCATTGCAGCCGGAGCAACCGCTGGCAGAGCGCGAGGATCAGGATGAGGACATCATCAAGCATGTGGTGGAGCCAGAGACACCGGTTTTGCCGCGTGCCAACGATGGTTGGTTTGGATCACGGGTCTCGCTCAATAGCAGTGGGACACGGAATCGTTTGAACACCTGGGACAAGACCGAGGGCAATGGCCATGTGGAGCTGAAACGATTGAGTAGCAAGGATTCGAATCCTGGCGGAAGGCAGCAGCGTAGCATCTCGGTTAGTCATAGCATCAAGGAGGAGGAGGCCCTGGGCTACGACTCCGACGAGGAGGAGCAGAAGGAGAAGAAGATGGAGCAGAAAGAGCTCACGGAGAAGGAGAAACAGGAGCTGGAGGATGAGGAGGAGCGCCAGAGACGCAAGAAGCTACCCTTCTACATGAAGGTTGTGATCTTCTTTGACCTGGATCTGTTAAGGGACATCACATATGTGAATCTGGCCGTGGGCATTACGTTGATCAACTTTGTGGAGATCAATTTTGCCATTCTGACGCCCTTCATCTTGTCCGATCTGGGCTTTGAAAAGGATCAAATCGCCTTGGCCATGTCCACGCTGGGATTGTTCGATCTGCTCGTGCGTTTTGCCATACCTTTGATCACCGCCAAGATCAATCTGAGTAATCGCACCTTCTTTGTGGTGGGCATTTTGGGCATGTGCATTGGCCGCATGTTCCTTTCGATGACTACCAACTTTTATGCCATGATGGCCATCTTCCTTTGGCTGGGTTTGAACAAGGCCTTCCGTACGGTCTTTTGGTCATTGATTATACCCAGTTATGTGCCGTTGAAGCGATTGCCAGCAGCTGCCGGCTTGCAATTGCTAATGTCGGCCACCTTTTCCATGGTCTTTGGACCACTGATTGGTGAGTATTTAAACTCTCTGGCTATATCTATACCAAATTTCTTCTAATATCAAATTATTCGAACAGGTTTGATCCGTGATCATACAAGCTATGCGGTGACCCTTAACCTGCTGAATGCCCTGTGTGTAATGGCCTTTGTGGGCTGGTATCTGGAGGACTTTATACGAGCTCGGACACGAAAAGCACCGCCAGTGAAGACGATCGACTGAGCTTGGAGGGGCTCATCCTGTCCAGGAACAAACATCCATCCTATGTTAACTCTAGCGAAATGTTCTTTGTTATCGCCTTTTGCCCAGTGTTTTTTTTTACTCTATATGTTTATGTAAATTATATTCTGCGTGTACATTGTGTATATACTGTATATTCGAGTGTAGCTAATTATTTGTATTAACTATTGATAATTGTTAATTAATATGCATAAGCTGCCAACATAAAAAAAAACAAGAAAAAACGAAATGAACCAAACAAGTCTGTCTTTCTTTTTGGTCTTGAAACTATAAAGGGTTGTATATATCAGATTTAAGGTGTGAAAATATATTACTAAAATTTTATTTAGATAATTTACCCAACCCTTTTCCAATACTTAAAAAAAATACTATTTTTATTTTGCCCTAGTGGCATTAAAACTTTATTATTAGTTGGAGTAACGTTGTTTACATTCAAAAGCTACATTTATTTGCACAATATTTTCATGATAAGGGGTTAAATATATATTCTTGAATTTATCATATCAAACAACAAATACATCCATGATTAAGTATATCATAGAACTTTATTGGTACTTGGTAGATCTATTATTATATATTCGTTGGATAGAATTATATAATATTTAGCAAATATTATCAAATAGTATATAAAATAAGATGCTTAACGCTTAGAAATTTTTTTTCTATCGATAATCCAACCTGAAAATTACGAATCCAACAAAATTTTACAACATTAAGCATCTTATTCTATATATATACTGTCTTTGGTATTATTCAGATCCGGATCTTATATGTTTCCCCAGAAAAACAATACAGTTTAAGGTTTATATTTGCACCAAAAGATCACAGAATTAAAGCTTTGTTAAACAAGGCTCTGGTTTAGCGTTTTTAATTATAAATAAACTCAAAAAAATATATAGAAATCACAGTCATATTCAAGTCATTGAAGTATATATTCATTGTACCAATTTAGTTTCAGGCATTCAAGAAGTAGCAGCTGCCTTTAATATAATATTATTATTTTGTTGTTGCACAAAGGTACATAATTTTCAAGCTCTTCAATTTATATAAGCTACAAAAAAAGTGTTGTATAATATATTTTATATATTATATGGATAAGTTTTTGTTTTTAAAAAATTTGTGGCAATGTAATTGTTGCGCATACAAGTACATTTCCACAATTTTTTTTAGTTGGTGGATTTGGATTACATTATTTTAAGCTTTTCGATGGGTTTATACCTTATTTTCCTATACGCATGGTAATATATAGCAATTTTTCTCTGGTTTCACACTTGACCACAATTAATATCTTAAAAAAAGAGACTCTACCGATGCGTTTATATTCATATATCCATCTAATGATTACCATGTCTATAAACATTTTTCGAAAGTTTTCGAAAAATACAAATGGATAGAAACCATACATTTTTATGAATTTGTTTATATATTTCAGGTATAGCAGTTAAATCTTTTTAGTCTTTAAGAAATAGTATTGTAAGCTCAGGTGGAAACCAATTTCAATCAGTTCGACATTTTTACATAAATATTAATATTTTCGATATTTAAATATATATCTTCAGACCACTATGTTTTTATCAGTGTCTTACCTAAATTAACTATAACCCTAAACCATCTTTAACTTGTTTTGTTACATTTCAATAATTTGTGTAATATTATACTAGTTTATTCATTAGCATTAATTTAAGAATAATCAATTTGATCACGAAAATCATTAGCAATAATAAGTTTATGAAAATCATACTTAAGTGTGTAAATATTTTCGTTTTCTTGAAAAATAACTTTAATATAATTAAAGGTCAATGCAATTGATATCTTCAATTAATTATTATACATATATAAGTTATATACATAGCTGCATTTAAAATCACTTCTGAATATTATATTTAAAAAATATATGTATCGGGAATAACACACATCTTTTTAAATTTGTTTAAATATTTGAAAGCCTTTTTGTTTACTTAAATTTTATATATTATATATATAATTATTTGAGACCTTAAGATACTATGAATTCCTTATGTTCTTTCTTTTAATATATTTTCTGATTATAGATTCATTTGTAAGTTAAATATGTATAAATATAATTAATCCTTTTCTGCTTGTGTGAAAACTACTAGGAATTATTTACGTATAATTACCACTTTCAAAGGGTATCCAAACTTTGACTTATTTTATTTGCTGTTGTTTTTTATCTCAGAGTCTCTGCAAAATGTCAAGTCACCGCCAGGCGATGTGTCATGGAATCGCTGATAATTGGTTAGCCGAGACCCCTGCGAATGGAGATCTTCTCCAGGTCTTGACTTGGGGTGGCAAAAGTATGTGACAATGTGGCGAAATTAACTGCTATGCCCTGAGCCTTTAGCCTTAGTCTTAGCCCGGGAATGAGCCTTTTGGCCCGGCTTACTTGCTCTCTGTCTGCGGCTAATGAAGCGATGGCGTGCGGTCTTGGTATTATTATTATTCCCGATGCGATTTTCGTTGCAGGAGAACCGGTTACTGGCTGGAACTCGGTCAATAAACTAACCGCAAATATGTGGATGCCAAAAGCTAAAGACAGCAACAGGCCCGCCGATGTTTGGACACCAGAAACACCAGAAACATGTTGCTGCACTTCCACTAAATATTTGCATAAATGCCTGGCAAAATTTGAGTGTATCGGTTGCAAATCCAAGAAGACCAAGATCAAGTCCAATTCCCATTCCCAATCCCATTTTAATTCCCATTCCCGACTGTTGATCTCTGGATGCTGGTCCAGCTGAAAGTGAATCTTTGGGATCTTGGAAGATGATGAGTTTTATTCCCCTTTTTCTTATTTTGTTTGCTTTGGGATTCTGATTTGATTTCTTATGTAAATATATTCCTACTTCGTTCATTCATACAGCAAAGAGTTCAAATTAAAAGGCGTTGTTAAATCCAACGATGTGAAGCATTCAGTTTTCTGCGGAAGCGTTGTCAAAATAAATATTACAGGTAATTATAGTTCATTTTAAGGAAGTTTACTAATATTATTATAAATTTTATTGAATTTTAAGCAAGTTTATTGATAATTTTATGTGAAAAATGAACAAGAGTCGAAATATGGGATGAATTTGAAATGAATTTGTGATTTATTTTGAAAATATAATTTCTCTAAAGTTTTAAATAACGAAAATTAAGTTTTTCCACTAAAATTATTATTATTTTTCATTGTTTTAAGTTTTTTATAACATGAAATTATTTTTCTTCCTATAATTGTCTTTTTTTATTGTTCCACATTTGTTTGCAGTTTGTTTTTGTTTTAATTAGCAAATTCATTGTTTGAAGTGCACTTGGTGATTTGATGGGTAAACGGGTCTGAAGTATTCCCATTGAATTCGGTTCCTAGTCAAGATCTGAATGGATTTGTTTGTATTTTATATATACACATTTATATATTATTATTTTTTAGCTTTGTCCGACTGTCTTTAGACTCGATCACGATGAGCTGTGAATATTTTTGTGGCGCTCACGCAAATGTCATTTAAATTGCGATAAGATGAGTCTAAATAATTTATTAAAAATATTCCAAGCCCTGTCATAATTAAATGAAATCTAAATATATATTTTTTTGTAGTATTTGTTTGGCTTAGTGAACGCCAAGCTCAGGCTTCATTCATAGTTAGCAAATTAATTTGTTAACTGGTTTTATTTTTCCGTTAAAAACCTCATGACGTGCTCTTCGTTTTGACTTTGGATCATACGTTTCTCCAACAAATATTCCTAGTCATTTCCTAATGACGTATGACTATTTTATATTTAATCAAAAAGAGATAACAGGCAATTATTCAATAGGAAAAAGATTGCACAACAGACATGAAATAACTACCATTTTGATAGTTAAATTTGCTTGCTAAAATATATATATTTATGGCCTTGGCAAATGGTGTAATTAAATCCAGGTAGAAATGAGCTATAGAAAACTATTTTTGGGCTTCCAGAAAGAACACTGTCTTAGCAATCCGACCGACATTATGTCATTATAGGCCACCGAAAAATTGCCAGTAATTATAGCCAAGCTCTTTTACTTTGACTGTGAGTCAAGTTATAGAATCTCAACAATCACGGTTCTCTAGAACTTAAAAAAAAGAAAGAGATTTGGTTTAACTTGCTGAGTGAGTGACGCATTGTGCTGCGGTGCAAAGTTTTTGGCCACAAATTACAGTTGTAAATATTTAACGTCTGAGAAGTTCCCCAGATTGCGACACCGCAATATTTTTATGGAGCACCATTCCCCAACTATCTTAAGCTCGGTTATGACGCTAATTACTCTATGGCCCCGGTCTTTCCTATTCTTTTTTTTGGGGGGGATTTGTTAGTCAGTGGGAGTGCGTCTAATCTAATGGCTAATATTTGCCCAAGCAAATTGGAAGGGTCTCCGACAGAATGAGCAGCTGCCTCACTTACTCACCTGCTCGGTTACAGTGTGTTGCGAAAGTTTTGTTCGCGAAGCTTCTTATAAATAAGATCTAAGATCTTTTTGGGTATTTTATAAATATTAAATATCAAAAATATTTGATTTCTTCGGTGAAAGTCTATAAAAAAAAGTTGTTTGCCGGAAGTTCACCTAAAATTCCCAAGTACGAATTCAGCAAATCACTGCTAACGTTTGATTTAATTAAATTATGTTAATAAGATCATCAAAAAGATCTCTCTTTGCTCAACAATAATTACACAGGTATAAAATATTTAACAATTATTTTTACTTATTATATTTTATATATATATTTATATTTATTCTATCTATCATTATTATGTTTATTATATTTATTTTAATGCACGTTTTCAAAGAGATTAGGTAATGGATATGTTAAGTTGTTGGGAAATTTTTTAAATACAAATATTTATATTATTTTTATGATGAAAATAAATTGAAAATATGAGGGGTGGCTCAGAAATCTTTGGGGGTTTAAAATCCCTTTATAAAAATGTATCTAAAAATATGGAATAAAATGTTAAAGCACTAAATTCCGAAATAAATTTGTTTATACTTTTACTATGTATTATTTTGGAGCTTAGTTTCACATGCTTTTAGGATTTTAAAAGCTAAAAGCCTTTCTTGCTTAAAATTATATTACTGTCAATATCATGGCCTAAACCTTTTATTTATATATTATTTAAGAGAAAGAAATCCCTTGAGTGAGTTGTGATTTATTGTGAAATCAAAAAGGGCAATATGTTTGCATAGTTTTTATACGAGATAAACATACTTTTTGATTGGCTTTCCCCCGATTTGAATTTCGAAACGCAACGAAATAGATTGTATGGAAACAATCTACATAAGTTGTTGTGTGTGAGCGTGTCAATGCTTCTCCACTGATTTGCCAGATCGGATCCGATAGGGATGGAGGGGCGTGTGGTTTGATAACAACTTTGCTCTGAAAAATTATACGAATTGAAGTTCAACAAGTTGCTCGTTAGCATTACCGCTACCGGTTGCCGTTACGTTCGAGGTTCGAACTTGGAACTTTTCAAATGCGTTCTATGTAGAAACTTTCGCCTCAATTAGGTGGAATAATATTATTTTTTCGAGAGAGATATGAAATGCAAACAAAAATAAACGCACGATCCGCGACTTCGTATATATGTATATATACACTTTTTTATGGCCAACACCGCGCCTAGGGTTGTAAAAACATCAAAGCCAAATTAAAACAAATAACAAAAAGCACGCAAACTGCCGTTGGAGCGGCAACACGGCAACAGACACAGCTCTAGGGCTAGCTTGGCGCACTAGAACCACAGATACAGATACAAATAGAGATACAGGTTGGAGATACTGAACACCGATACCGATACCGACACCCGTGTTTATTTGTTGTTATATTTTATTTAAAAAATCAAGAATCACAACAACGTCGGCAAAAAGTTGCCTCGTCATTGGTACGACGTTAATTCGCTTTCGTATGCTGACTGACTAGCCGATGTCTCACGAAATGATAACTCCAAACCGATGATTTCCATACGAAACAAACACATGTACATACATATGTACATCCATGTGTGGGCGCTACGTTCCCCCCACCAAACCCCCTTCCAGAGCCATAATAATTGCACGGAATCGCTTTCGATTTGTTTGCCTATTTATCTACGGAGAGCAGTGTAATTGCCCATTGCCAGTGGGAGTGCGAGTGCGAGTGCGAGGGCAATGCCAAGCAACCACCTGTTGTGCGAGCGAAAGAGAGGGACGGACAGAGCGCCGACAATGGTGGTGAGAGAGAGAGAGAGAGAGAGAGAGAGCGTGCCCCAATGTCATAAATCGAACACAACAAAAAATATATATAAATAAATAAAAGGAGTTATTTCATATGATTTAAGGAAATAATTTCAACAGAAATTACTGTAATAATTCTAGTAATATTATTGGAAATAAAAGAATATTGGAATATTAATATTAAAATACTATATTAAGGAATTTGTTGATTGATAACATGGATATATCAATAATTTTGTCAAATTTGACCTTTATTTTTAATATATCGTTAATCTCAAGCTGAGATAGATCATCAAAGGATATTGAAGAATCCAAGCAAACTTTAAAGTAAAATATACACTGCACAAAAAAAAAAAAAATAAACTAACTTTCAGTTTCCATTCTTAAAATCAATATTTATTATTAATTTTTTATGACAAATTTTGTCGTCAAATCAAAAACTAAAATCCGCATAACTAAGCCAAAAAAGCATTAATTTTCATTCGGAAAGCAGTCCTATGTTACTTTTTAACAGATTAATAAATCTGCATACTCAATTCAAAAACTAAAAATATTAAAATTTTGTTGAAATTTTTGGCAATTTTAGCCATGTAACCCCTTAAAAATTTTGAAAAAATTAAAAATTGGTATTTTTCCGCCGGAGATGTCTAGATCGGTTCAGCTTTTAATGCTGATAAAGAATATATATGATTTATAGGGTCAAAAATGACTCCTTCACATAATTTTAAGCTTCTGACTAGAATTATAATACTCTTTGTAAAGGTATAACAACTAAAATATTATAATGCAACTTTAATGATTAGCTAAAGTTTATAGTGATTTTTCATGACAAAATGTAGGATGATTGAAGTTATTGTTTTCCCCTTAGATATATGGGTTTACGTAGCTAATAAAAGAGAATAGTCCCCCGTTTTTTAGAGTGTATGCTTGTGTGACATTGATGCGATTGTGTGTGAGTGGGAGAGAGAGAGGTAGTAGGACTGCCGGCAAGTCAAATCAGAAAAAAAACATACCGTTTCCAAGGAGTTTTCACGTGGGTGAGAGTATGCAAGTGAGCAGGAGAGAGAGAGAGTGCAAGTGCGTGCCAAACAGAGAGGGAGAGAGAGTAGCCTGTGTGCACAGTGGTAAGAGTTTAGAAAACCATAAAAGGGTGTGAGTCACAGTGATTAATTCGCTGGCCATTCGTTAATTGATTGATGAGAATAGCAAGGATACAGATAATTGATCGACGGCTCATTTAAAAACTGATTTATGGCCGCCTTTGCTTTGCTTTTCCCCTTTGATGAAGCTGATGCAACAGGTAAGCGCATTTTACATCATAATTACTTTATAGCCGCCGTAAACTCAAAAAGGACATCAGGTGTCCTCAACTATTTTCCAGGGAAAAAGAATTTTGGGTAATTTTACGATTTAATGAGCGGTTAACCTATCGATGATTAACCCTAGAAAACCCAAAGCAAAGCTGTTTAAATACTGAGTGTGTTTGGAAGTCAGGTTTGCCTTACAGCCGCACATCAATCTTGTTTAGTTACACTGAAGAAAATACATATATTTTTAAAATATTTAATATTAATTTAAATTATTAATTAAGAGTTTTTACTTTCAAGGGAAGATAGATTCAACTTTCTATCTTATATGTTATTTTGTATTATGTTTTGTATTAAAATAATTAGAAATTAAATTAATTATAATATAAAATTAAAGAATAATGAAAGCAATTATTATAATTTTATTTTTAATTTATAGCAATAACAACTTGTTTTTCTTGCCATGTATTGACGGCTGTCTGTCCACCAATTAGTGACTGATGCCTACCTGAACCGCGACCTTTGAACTAGCTGTGTGGCCCCTAGTGTGGTCCACAGAGCGGCTATATCAATGTTGGCCCTCTCTTTGAACGTTCTCAGCACTCTCCCTGCCACTTGTAGGCTCTAACTCTCCCGCTCTCCAAAGCAAAACAAATCTAAGATGCAGAGAGTGAGAGCGATCACTTACAGAGCGATCTGTTCGCTCAGCTGTTGCCTCTGCTGCAAGCCTCACCGACGATGCTGCTGCCCACTGTTAAGCCTGGCCTGTGCCAGAGCGAGAGAGTGGTACTGAGCGTTAGATAGAGAGAGGGAGACGATGCCTGGCCAGTACTAATTGACTTGACTGCTGCTGCTGGTTCTTCTGCTGCTGGTGCTGCTGCATCCTCTGTCCTCTGTTGCTGCTGCTGCTGCACTTGGACTGCATTTGCCTGCCGTGGTTATCCTGCTGCTGCTGCTGCCGCTGCCCACGCAGGCCGCTAGAACTGGTAGTGGGAGAGCGAGAGCAATACGCTATCACTCTCTGGCCGGCTTTCGCTCTGGCGCCGTCTCTCTCTCTCTTCCAGCGAGAATACTATAAAGCAGACCGCAACAGTTGGCCAGCCAACAAGTCGATTCCCATCCGCGTAACTGTAAGCACGCAAACGAACACACACACACACACATACACACACTCACGTACGCATTAGCACGAGCACGAGCAGAGCCGAGTCGAGCCCGCGACGAGCAGTGCAGCACAAGCAAAAGAGTTTTTTGTGTTTGTTATTGTTAACATTAACATTAACATTAACATTTAATACCGTCACACAAATATTACTTGGCGAAACAGCTGAGCCGGCCCAACATTGTGTGTTGGGTTCCCCTGGCACTTGTTGTTGTTGCTGTTAACGATTAACGGTCAATGGTTAACACTCGATTGTTTGTTTTTATTTTTTTCCTGTGACTGTGCCATACAAACACCCCTCCTCACACCAAAAGTGCATTTCCCACAAAAAAAAGTGTCGAAATTAGCAGATCGTCAAAGCAAATCAACCTCTAAAGCACTTGACAGCCAATAAGCCAAGGAGAATTATCGGAAAGTTGCCGTAAGTTGCATTTCGAAAGAGCGCAAAGAAAGTGCGCGAAGGATTTGTGGTCACAGAAGAATAAGAAGGGGATCAAATACATCATCAAAGCCTGAGAAAGGTGGATTTTTATGACTTATACAAATTGTTTCTTTGATTATTTATCTGTGGCTTAAAAATAATATTTTTTATAAAATTCAGAGAGTTTTTTTCTTACGAAAGTGTGTAAAATTAAATTTTACTAACGTATATTCTGTTTATGATTTTATAGTTATAAAGACTAGATTTTTTAAAGCCCAACTTTCACATGCAAAACCTGTCAATATTTTGATATTGTAATAGTGATTATCAGTTAGGTTGCATTTATTGCATAGTAATTTTTTAATTGTGTGTTTTACCACAATAATTAACCGGATTTTTCCTTAATTTTGTTAAATTCAGTTTATAGTTTAGTTAGTTTAGTTTAGTTTAGTTATTTGCATATCTTTATCCTATTTTTAAGCTAAAAAATACATTGAACTATAGGTTTCAAAAACTTATGTATTTAAAAATACATAAAATAAATACTTATTTAAAAAAGAACTTTCATTCTTTTTAATGGTAATAAAATATATTTGATTTATAGCTTACTGTGGATTTCTATATATTTTATAATACATTTTAGATCTTCTGACGTAACGTAACGAACTCTTTTGAAATAAATATAAAAATGTATATTTTCTTTTTACAAATTAAAATCAATTTTACTATAATAGAAAATTGTAAAATATTTTTCCCTGTGATTTTTTGTTAAGTCAAGTATCATACCTGTGCATATTAACTTTAATAATATACAATTTTATTATATTTACTTCAATCAAAATAATTATTACCATCATAGAACATTTAAAAATCTTTTTCTCCTACATTTATAAAAAAAATGTATGTATAAAAATTGATATTTCTCCGCGTGTATCCATACCCTGGGCCATGTATCCCTTCCTCCGCGGCTGAACTCTCCACTCCCAGCGGGAGGATGATCTGGTCCCGGGACTAAATTGAGTTTTGCCAAAGGTTTTCAGCCTGTTTTATTTTTTATACTCATGTTGGTTTATTTTTATCTAACCATCGGAGGGAGCAGAAAATGTTTACCAAATTGAATTACACATTTTTTACGATGTGATGTTATTTCTTTTTTTTTTTTTTTTTTCCTGCTCCCGTCTCCGCCCGACCTCAGGCCTCAGGTGGTGGCCTGAATCCCGGGGAAGCGGAACCCGCCCGTCGACGATGGATGCATTTAAAGCGGCGCCATTTGAAGGGTGAAGGAGTTTTCCGGGTCTGGGGCTTACTTAGAACCAATTACCTTAAAGTTTAAATGTGATCGAGTGCTCGAAAAGTGATGATAAGATAAAGAAAAATGCAATCAAAAAACAATTTATTTAAGGTCGGTGGGGGAATCAAAGAGCCCTAATAGATAAATCCATTGCAGTTGCAGTTTCCAAAGATAGAAAAGAATGAGTTACTTATTTAAAATAAGTTAAATAAATCAAGACACAGCAGACATATTATAAAAAAAATATGCCACCACCGGTGGAGGACTTTAGAACTTAATTAAAAACCCCTTTGGCTTGGCTCATAGCTTGTATTTATGTTTATAAAAATAATAATAAAACAACACGTCGACCAATATCCGTTTAGGAGCAGGAGAAACACCTGGACAGCGATTCCCGGGGGATGCTGCCGTTGGTTCTTGGTTTGGTCTTTTATTCCCGTTGGTTGCCAAGGTTCCTTGCTGTCAGTTTCCTCCTGTCGAGGGGTTTATAGATATATATATAACCCATTCTGCTGCCTTTGGATTTTCCTCATTTAACTGCCCTCGGGATAACCTGTTGCTGTGGCAAAGGCAAAACAAAGAGCTCAGTCTCAGTCTCAGCTACAGTTTCGATTGGGAAAAGCTTCAAAATTGCTGACAGATTTCGCATTTAGTTTGACTTTCAATTGAATCAACAGTTATAAGCTGCTTATGTGTTTTTGGGCCGTGATTATAGTATAATTGGAATCCCCTAGAGCGGATTGTGCAATTGATATGCTAGAGTCGAGAAATTGCCAGTGATAAGCTCTCCTTCAGACAGTATTTTGATATGAGAGAGATAGTAGAAGATAGTTGAAATAATTTCTATTGTTCTATTGTTTTTAACCTGTCTTTTGTTTGCAACTCAGGCATACACTTAGCAAAACGCCCTTAAAAAATACAAACTCCTTATAAAAGAAGTCGTAATATTAATTATGAGAATATTTATTTATTTATTAAGAGTAATTAGGCCACTTAACATATTTTTGTAAATGCCAAGCAATAATAAGGAATCAAATTAAGCATTTTTCCCGATAAGACACCAGTATTTAAAGGATTTATAGACCTTAATGAGTTTGAAAACGTTTTGTTTTTGACTTTTTGGGTCTTAGTTTTGGTTTAGGGAAAGGGACACACACTCCCTCCCTCCCCCGCATACATACATATATCGTGTGTCAGACAGCCGTCTTGTTTGACAGCTCACCCAAGTGGAATTAGCATTTTGGGTTTAGAATTGGAACCAGAAACAGAAACTTGGAAAATCAAGAACCAAGAACTCAGTACCGAAAACTGACAACCAAAAAAACCAAGTGCATTTCTGGGATTGGTGTTAAATTTCACTTGCATTCCCTGCACTTTACGGCAAAAGGCACTTTTGGGAGTCGGTTTGAAGTACGTGAGTTTATTCGGTTAAACCGGACCAGAGACTCGAAAAAAAAACACATGCAACAACATACAAAAATTTAAATAAAACAAAACAATAGTTGTGGAATAAAAAAAGTGCCTAGGAATGGGCCTGAAATGCGCATTAAATGCTTTGCATAGACAAGGGACTTGGTATAGGGGATTGGGCCACAGATTGACATTCCCCCTTACCTTGTCCCATACCCAATCCCAATCCCAATCCCATTCCCATTTCCATTTGCAGTACCATTTTCCACTCCGAAATCATACACAGAGAACACTTACAACACATGTGAGAATGTGCCGGGTGTTGGGATTATTTTGTGGCCTGAGCACCGAGGGCAATAACAATCACTCGAAAACGCTCCTAAAAATAGCTAGTCCCGAACACGTTGCTCATAATCTCGGATGCAATTGAGTGCTGCCAGCCAGCCGGCACATGAATGATAACTTTGTCCAGGCCCACTGGAGTATAAATAGCCATTTGTAGTCGTCTATTGAAGCCGAGCATGACGATGCCACCACAACACCATGCCACACCACATCGCACCACATCGCACCACATCGCATCACATCGCACCACAACCAGAGAGAACACAGCCCAAAAAAAGAACATTTTAATAAATGCAAATTTAGCCAATGTCCAGCTTTAGTTTCTCTTAAGGGAATCCAATTAAGTAGGGGCTAAAATATATATCTTAAATTAAGGTTCTAAACATCGTTCTATTCTTGAAAACATGTTGTCCTTAACCTTATCCTTGGAGTTTTATTACCTCCTTTTGTTTTGTTGGTTCTTTGTTTATAGTTTTTTTATAAAATATATTTTTGTTTAAGATATATAAAAATCCTTGTATTTTATACGATATTATTTAAAGGTATTAACTTAGTTGTTAAGAAAAAATCCTGGTAATTTATACTTGATTGTTCAAAAAGATTCCTTCAGTATCTTTTTGTAAAATTTATAATGGAATGTTACAAAAAAACGTAGTATTTTATATTACTGTTTATTTAATTAAATTTAAGTAGTGTTCTTTTGCTGATGGGGCATAGTTGAAAATCCTGGAGTTTGGACCTTTATTATTTATTATACAATGCAATGACTTAAAAAGCAACATTACTTAAGAACCGGTTTCCAAATTAATTTTCTATTCTGCTTAGTTAATTACTTTTTTTATTATTACTTCTACTATATTATAATAGCTTAAAATGATGTGTATTCAATATAGATATATATTTTCAATATTTCTGGGGATTTCTATAAACTCTACTAAATTCCATAACTCTAAAAGCCACAAATTACTTATCTAAAATAGAAGCAGAAAATTAATATACGAATTTTAAGAGATCCCCCTTCGTATATAATTGTTTTTTTGTTCAGATGATCTTTAAATCAGATCAAAGAAATATAGATCCCTTCAAGAAAAAGTTGACTAGCATCCTATGCATCGAAGATGTGCATTTCAAAAGCAAGAAGCTTAAAAGAAAGATATGATTAGGTGATTATGATCTTTATTTATGATCACCTTGACTGACAAAGAGTTTTCCCTCTCCAGAAATGCTTTTCTATTTTCCCTTTTCCTAGAGAGAGGGAGAGAAAGAGAGAGAGAGCAATGTGCTAACTGACAATCTAAACGATGTGCTAAAAGTTCTCTAGTAAATATATATATATATATATTTATAACAATTGTGTTTGATCAGCTGTGCATTTGGCACTCTTTCGTACTCTCTCTCTCTCTCTGTGTGTCTCTCTCTCTCTCTCGATTTTCATTAGCTGCGAATCAATTACTCGGCATATCTGTTGCCGCTAATCAATTCCCATTGACACAATTTAATTGAAGGCGCTGGCTTTGGGAAATAAATGTAGCAAACGATCGGAGGAGCGACAATTGGTTGTCGCCTCGCTTCAGATCCATTTTACCACTGAATGAGCTCCATGTCTCCATGTTGTGTATATACAATTCGATTCCGTTTATTACACACAAAAGCAGGCAGGCAGCCAGGCCGATTAATCTCAATTAGAGGCCAATTGACTGAGCGAAAATGCTGGAGAAAACTTCCGTTGCGTGTGGAAAACACTTAAAGGAAAAGTTTGTATGCAGTTAAATTATATTTTGGTTATATTTTGTGTAGTTTTGAATTTTTAAATATTAGCATTAAGGTTGAGAAAGATCTTGTATAACATAAGCTATCATTTGTATCGAAAATGTACTCAAAAGTCGATTTATAAATCCATATTTTAAGTTTAACAATATACATATGTGCGATAAGTCTGAATTTTGTTTGATAT